CCTGACTGTCTTGCATCGAATCCATGAAACCAGGGACGTACAAGAGGACGTACAATGTCTTCTTTCACTCCTGGCATATAGCGGGGTCAATACACATTTAATAAGTGAAAATAAACATGACACACATTCCTGGCATGCCAGCAGCACTTTGGACTAGTATTATGATTATTAATATGAGTCCATGTAAGGACCTATATTTGTTCTTAGTCTAAAGCAGCTACAGTGCTGACTGTTTTCAGTGAGGAAAACAAAGAGGAACCAAAAGTTTAAGCAAAGGAGTTCAAAAGCGGTCATTCCTCTTTATTTTAACCACCAAACCTCCTCCTCTTGCGTGCCTCTGCAGCCCTTTGGAGAGATACAGAACAGGATGTAAAGGGAGGGGAAGTGAACACAGGTACTGCCAAACCTCAGGGGGCAGACTGCTCCCTCCCTTGCTGTGATACGCTCTCCATCTTCCGCTATCGGCATTTGTGAACCTGCTTTATTACCTCTGCCTCTGACCTCACTAGCTTGTAAACTGCTTTGCCCAGCACAATGACTGACCTATAAAAGGTCTGCAATACACAGTTAACTGAATTCTGCTGGTCAAATATAGCATAAGTTCCAAATGGTAATAATAAAATAAGTTTTTTTTAAAAAGATATCACATTTTTTTTTCTTTTTTCTTTTTTTTTTGAGATGAAGTCTCGCTCTGTTGCCAGGCTGGAGTGTAGTGGCACCATCTCGACTCACTGCAACCTATGCCTTCCAGGTTCAAACAACTCTCCTGCCTCAGCCTCCCAAGTAGCTGGGACTAGAGGCATGTGCCACTGTGCCCAGCTAATTTTTCTATTTTTGGTAGAGATAGGGTATCACCATGTTGGCCAGGATGGTCTCAATTTCTTGACCTCATGATCCGCCCACCTCGGCTTCCCACGGTGCTGAGATTGATTACAGGTGTGAGCCACCGCACCCAGCCCCAGACATCACACTTATAGCTTAAAAACTTTGATTTGTTGAGAAATTGTTTTCACCTTCCACAATTCAACTCCGCGGTTAGCCCTGGACCTGGCAGGCATTGGGATATATGAATCGGAAGCTCAGGGAAGACGCCTGGACAAAGTAGGAATCCAGGAGTCTTACAGCATGGAGGCTGGGGTTAAAAGTCAAAGGGCATTGTCCAGGAAGAACTAGAGAGGGTAAAAATCAGAGGCTGGTGTCTTGAGATATCAATGCTGAAGAACCAGGGGAGGCACAGGAGGCCAGGACAGAGCCAGGACAGAAGTCAGAGAGGAGCAAGAAAGAATGGGGCCAAAAAAAAGCCAGAAGTCTGGGAAGTTTTCGGGATTAGAGGGTGGCCAGTGGCCTCAAATACAGCTGAATAATCTAGTCACAAAAGGATTGAGAGATGTCTGCTGGAGTGGGCAATATAATAGCCGGTAAACCCATGAGAGCAACTTTGGGGCGGGAGGATAGATACAGTGGAAAACAGACTTCATCAGGAATGGGAGGCAAAGACATGAACACAATCTCGGGAGGCAGTGAACATAAGGAAAAGCACAAGGGCTTTTGGGTTTGACCCTGCCCCCAGGCTCTGCTCTACCAACCTAGCTTCTACATTGCTACTAGTTACATTTTCTAAACATCAAAATTAATCCTGTCACTTCCGGTTATGATGAACATCCACTGGCTTTTGCCATTTGCTGGAGAATCTGAAGCAAAGTCCAGGGCCAATTTGATTAGTGTCACTTATTTTTCAGGTTTGGTTTCTTCATCACCTGTAAAGGAGAGTGGCATGGGACTATAATCCCTTGTCTGAAATCCTTAAGGCCACATGTATTTCAGAATTCACAGTCTTTTGGATTCTAGAAAGGTGATACAGTATACACAATCTATTACATGATATCTCCAGCAGTGCCTGGGCCCCACCCTGGAACCAAACACACCAAGTGGAACAAAAAAGACTAGGCAACCTTCCCTGAGGTCAGCATGAGTATTCCACTAATGGAGTTACCCAGATGCTTTTGTTTTCCAGAGTTTTTCGGATTTTTGGAATTGTAATAAGGCTCACGGACCACCCTGGCCGAGTTGTTTGAAGGCTCAAATGAGACATGTACGTGAAAATGAAGCAGAAAGGAGAACCACAAAGGGCACAGGGGCCCTGATCTTCTTGACTGGGAATGAAAGGAATTTTTCTTTTTCTGACATTGTACATGTGTCAGCAATTTATAAAGGACACTCTCTGATAGCCTTTTGGAAGCCACAGCAGGAAAGGAATAACCTAGTTTAAAGAATGCATCCAGCAGCCTTAAAAAAAAAAAGGAATGAAATCATGTCCTTTGCAGCAACATGGATAGAGCTGGAGGCCGTTATCCTAAGTGAACTAAGAACAGAAAATCAGACACCGCATGTTCTCACTTGTAAGCGGGAGCTAAACAATGGGCACTCATATAGCTTGGCTCTGTGTCCCCATCCAAATCTCATGTTCAATTGTAATTCCCAATGTTGGGGAAGGTGATTGGATCATGAGGGCAGATCTCTCCCTTGCTGTTCTTGTGATAGTGAGTTCTCACGAGATCTAGTTGTTTAAAGCTGTGTAGCACTTTCCCCTTCTCTCTCTCTCCTGCTGCCATGTGAAGAATTGCTTGCTTCCCCTTGGCCCTTCTGTCACGATTGTTAGTTTCCGGAGGCCTCCTCAGTCATGCCTCCTGTACAGCCTGCAGAACTGTGAGTTCAATTAACACTCTTTTCTTCATAAACTACCCAGTCTCAGGTAGTTCTTTATAACAGTATGAAAATGGATGAATATGCGTACACATCAACATAAAGATGGAAATAATGGACACTGGGGACCCCAAAGTGGGGAGATGAGAGGATGAAAGGATTTAAAAAGTACCAATTGGGTACAATGTTCATTATTTGGGTGATGGGCGCACTAGAAGCCCCGTCCCCACCAGTGTGCAATATACCCATGTAACAAGCATGCACATGTACCCCCTGAACCTAAAATTAAATTAAACTTTTAAAAAGGAATGCCTCCTAGTGTGGCTGGGGATACCTGCATAATCAAAGGCAAGTCCCATAGCTTCTTCCTCACCTTGATTTCTCTGTCTCTGTCTCTGTAGGGCTGAGGCTGGGCTAAGCTTGGAGATCCTGAAACTCACTGTGATGGGGACCCTCACAATGGAAATCAGTTCTTTACTGTCATTCTCTCCATAACTGTGAGCTCTATGAGGCAGGGATTGGGCCTGTCTTGTTCACTTCTGGGTCTCTAATGCTTAGCACAGCTCCTGGTGTTTGTCCAGTATGGATACTTTTGCTGAATTGAACTGAAACTGATTTCTTATGTTCCTTGTGACAGAAGGTGAAGTCGGCATTGTCTTAACTTCCATTGTTTTCATCTTCAGGCAAAAACCTCTACACCTGGGGGTCATTCTGCCAGACTGTGCCCTCTGCCTCTGCTCACTGCTCTTTATAGCTTCCCCCAACACACACACACACACACACACACACACACACACACACACATTCTCATTAACTGAGGATTTTGGTCCCTCATAGCTTTCTTCTTCATCTTATCCCTTTTCTTACTCATATGAGACTTTGATTTTATGTGAACAACCCAACTATCTTGTGATCTGCCCATCTTGGCCTCCCAAAGTGCTGGGATTACAGGTATGCACCACAGCCTGCTTTTGAGTTTCTATTTGGCTTCCTTACTCATTTCTCACAATGGCTTTTCCAAACCTTTTCCTCAAGGATCCAAATCCACCCTTCCTATTTAAGAAGGTGGTCTTCTGTCTTAGGTGACAAGAAAACTTGCCTTCTTGCCCTTGTATCTACATGCTCGCCTACACCCTCTCCTGACTTTTCCTGCTTCCTCGCCCCTTCAAAGGTCATGGTGAGCCTGTTTTTATTCATCTGGGCCTTTGGTCTTCCCTTCATATTTCCCCTGAGACTTCGCTTTCTTCTTTCTCCAGTATTTTTTAATTTCTCTCTCTCTTATGTGTCCTCTAAAAGTTATAAACATGGACAACATCTTTCCATCTCAAAATAGAATACTCTTTACCTGGTGTCCCCTTCAGGCCATCTTCTTTCTTTCTTTCTTTCTTTTCTTTTTTTTTGAGACCGAGTTTCGCTCTTGTTGCCCAGGCTGGAGTGCAATGGTGCAATCTCGGCTCACCGCAACCTCCGCCTCCTGGGTTCAGGCAATTCTCCTGCCTCAGCCTCCTGAGTAGCTGGGATTACAGGTACACGCCACCATGCCCAGCTAATTTTTTGTATTTTTAGTAGAGACAGGGTTTCACCATGTTGACCAGGATGGTCTCCATCTCTTAACCTCGTGATCCACCCGCCTCGGCCTCCCAAAGTGCTGGGATTACAGGTGTGAGCCACCGCGCCCGGCCCTTTGTTTCTTTTTTTACTTTTGTGCCAACCTCTTGTTCTGATGCCCAGGCTGGGTGCAGCAGCGTGATGATGGCTCAGTGCAGCCTCAGACTCCTGGGCTCAAACGATCCTCTTGTTTGGAGGATGATTTCTTATCCTTGCATAAGTGATCATATGGCTACTTCCTCATCTCCTAAACACCTCATCTGACATACACTGCAGATCTAAAATGGGCCTAAGAGTTCTGCCCCTCCTTGCCCACCTGTTGAGCTTGCACCGACTCTGTGAGCCTCCCCCCACCCACAAGTGATCGTTCTTCCTTCGCGCTCCACTAACCCGACGTAAATGTTTATCATATAAAGTTTTACGTTCCACTCTTGTGTTTATGTCTCCTGGCTTCTTCACTAGACTGTGTGACAGCTGGGCCCTGCCGCCTCCTTCCTCGTATCTACAGCGCCTGTCGCCGAGCCGCTTCATCTTTGTTGAAGGAAGCTGAGGTTCAGCCCCGAGGGCCGCGGGACGGATGCCGCTCCTTCAGCCCTACAGGGGGCGCTGTGACAGCCGGCATTGGTTGCCCTTCTCTCCACTTCTCTGGGTATGCTCCCGAGCCACATGCCCTGGGCTCCGCCCACTCCCTGACAGCATCCCTCCTGCCCATTGGGCCGGCATGGACGGGGCTGTCCAATAGAGCGAGGCGTTGGTGCGGGGAGGCGTCGCCATCTTGGGGCTGCTGGGACTTTTGCGTCCGTTGGAGACTCCGGGACGTCGGTAGTTTCCTGGGCCGGGTTCTGCGGCCTTGCTTCTGTTTACTTTTCCACTCCAGGCCACTATGCCGCAGTACCAGACCTGGGAGGAGTTCAGCCGCGCTGCGGAGAAGCTTTACCTCGCTGACCCTATGAAGGTAAATCGCTGCCTTGGGCCCCAGCCCAGGATGTCTTCCCGCCATCCACTCGGCCTCTGGAGCTTCCCCAGAGCTGCCGGGAGGTGCTGAGAATGAACACAAATGGACCCTGCCAAGTTAATTGTTTCGCTGTTCCGTCCCCTTCGTTCCTGATCTAACGGTCCAGTGAGGCCCTGAAACTGGCAACAACCAGGGTCTCCTCAGCCCTGAACATCCCTGCAGTCGATCCTCTCCCGATCCAGCCCCTCAGCTTCCCTTATGGCTTCGGTTTTACGAGTCCCTGAAGCCAGGGCTCCTCCCTGCCTGCAGCTTCCTGTCCTTTGTCTAGGTTAACTTTTCCTGTACCGCCTGGGTGGTAAGGGTACCATATGTATATAAAACTGATGTTTTTTACTGCTGCTCAGACATTCTTGAAAGATACCGATTTGGAAACATCCGTACTCCCCCCGCCCCACCCCGAATATTCGTTTTTAGTATTTTGGGAGTCACAGGCTTTGAGAACATAAGAATAATATTTGCATCTTTTCTCAGAAAGATGCATGTATACGTAAATGTTTGCAAACAATTTTCATGGACCTCTGAAATACATTCTTAGCCCCCACAAAAATTATAATGGAGGTGGATGTCAGAGGTTAGCTTATTACTTAAAAAGCACAGGAGTCCAAGTGATGGGAGTTTAGCATTCGGGTCTTTCTTTTTGTCTCTTGAGGTTTTGCATATATTATTGTCATGTCTAACAATTATTTGAAGCATCTTCGTGTTAATTAAAAGTTCTCCTTTTTAGAACTCAGCATTTTGAAGGGATTTTATACTGGAAACCTCAGACCTGGTTATGTATATATTCTTTTGTTTTCTGTCTGTTGTAACTCAGTCATCTCCTTTGTGCTCCATTTATTCCTCACTCTTGTATGACTGAACCCCAAGTTAAATTAGTTTCTGTGGAAGACACAAAGGTGAGTGAGATTCTGTTCAACATTTAAGAAGCTGGTATTATTGGAGGGTATTATACATGCAATGTATTGTGAATATATCCCTCAGAAGAAAGAAAATTGAAAGCAGTTATTCTTGGAAAACCGTGGCTCAGGATTTACTGTGTGAGACTATTAAGTAATATCTTTTAAGTGTATGCAGTGGACTGGTAACCTGTAACTCCAATACTACATATTGTTTATAGTGCATGTAAGTTTAAAGTGTGCAGCAAGAAATGTTGATAATTATAATTAAAAATAGTATTAGACCCACAGAAAGACCTAGGTAACAAGAAGATGTAAAACATTCTTAGTTCTATTTTTTACAATAAAATATAATAATTAATGATGGAAAATTGTGTTTTTGTTTTCTTTTGTTTTGAGACAGAGTCTCGCTCTGTTTCCCAGACTGGAGTGCAGTGGTGCGATCTTGGCTCACTGCAACCTCTGCCTCCCGGGTTCAAGCGATTCTCCTGCCTCAGCCTCCTGAGTAGCTGGATTACAGGCGCGTACTACCATGCCTGGCTAATTTTTGTATTTTTAGTAGAGATGGGGTTTCACCATGTTGGTCAGGCTGGTCTCAAACTCCTGACCTTGTGATCCACCCGCCTTTGCCTCCCAAAGTGCTGGGATGACAGGAGTGAGCCACCGCACCCGGCCCAAAAAATTGTATTTTTGAGTGATTTGTGTATAACGCCGGTGACTTCTGGTTGTTTCATTTGGTTAGCTTCGCTTGTTCGCAGGGTTGTTTCTTCATTCAGATAGTGGTACTATGAGACCATATAGGACTTTTTGTCCAGAAGTGCCCACAGTATAAACTAAAAATACATGAAAAACAGTGAAGAATATGTGAATTAAATCAAGAGTGACTGTACTGTAAGAATGTGATGGTAGTGGTAAGGAAAATGAAAATAACTAGAGCATCACTGTGAGCAAAGCATGTCTAGAATAGTCAAGAGAGAGAATCTTTTACCTCTTACCCAGTTAGAAAATTGCAGTTGGCCCAGGCTGGAGTGCAGTGGCACAGTCCCAGTTCACTGGAGCATTGAACTTGGCTCTAGTGATCCTCCCACCTCAGTCTTCTCAGCAGCTAAGACTACAGGCATGCCACCATGCCTGCCTAATTTTAAAAAAAAATTTTTATTTTTAAAGACAGTAGTCTTGCTATGTTGCCCAGGTTAGTCTCAAATCCTGACCTCAAATAATCCTCCTGCCTCAGCTTCCCAAGTAGCTGGGATTACAGGCCCAAGCAGTGGCACCTGGCTTGACTAATACGTTGAGAGGGGAGAGGATGAGTGTAGAGGGAAAACTTGACTTAACAGTTTTTTTGAGTGCCTTCTACATGATGGGCATTTTATATATATATTTATATGTATAATTAATATGTAATATGCATTAAATATGTATATTTACATATATTTATACATAATACATGAACAATTATAGCAACCCATCAAAGTATATAAATGAATTATTTTAGTTATGTTAAATGATTTGCCTAGTTTTTATTTATTTTATTTTTTACTTTTTTAAATTTATTTTTGAGATAGAGTCTTGTGCCGTCGACCAGGCTGGGGTGCAGTGGCACAATCTCAGCTCACTGCAACCCTTGCCTCTCAGGTTCAAATGATTCTTCTGCCTCAGCCTCCCGAGTAGCTGGGATTATGGGCACGCGCCACCGCATCCAACTGATTTCTGTATTTTTAGTAGAGATGGGGTTTCACCATGCAGGCTAGGCTGGTCTGGAACTCCTAACCTCAGTTCATCTACCCACCTCCGCCTCCCAAAGTGCTGGGATTACATGCTTGAGCCACCGCACCCAGCCAATTTGCCTAGTTTCCTAAGAGATAAAGCTGAAATTTGGACCCAGGTCTTTGAACCCCAAGTCCATTCTGTTTCTGCCAGGGCTAAAGAGGAAATTTTGTCAGGACTCTGGAAGCTGTTTTCCAAAATTCTCTGTCTTGTCTCCCCAACACATTTAGCCTGTTCATTATACTCAGTATCTTTTTACCGCTCTCTCTTGCATTGCTGTAATTGAAGATGGCATTACCACTGGATTATGTGATAACCTCTTCGTTGGTTTGTCAGCCTTTTTAGTTCCCAAACATGCCTGCCACAACTGTCTGAAAAACAGAAATTGAATTCTTCATCTCCTGCTTAAAAACTGGTTCTTGTTTAGTAACTGGGTATAGTTCCAACTCCCAGTCACAGTCTGACCCATCTCCAGTCTTTCTGGCTTCATCGCACCATTTTCATGATCTTCAACTCTTAGTCTCATGAAGCTACAGAACTTACTGTATGAGTTCTTCTTCAGAATGGTTTTTCACCCTTCTACCTTCTTCTATAAGGTTAGAAAAAGGGCATTTTCAAAGCCACCTCCTTTTTTAGACTTTCCCTTTTCCCAGTCTAAATTGCTTCTTTTCCCTCTTTACGTTTTATCTGTATATACCTTTAAAGGGCTTAATTCATTTTGTCCTTGTGTTTTGGTTATTTTAGTTGGTTAGATTCAAAGAGGGCAAGAACCTTGATTTCTTTTTCTTTATGGCATCTGACACAGTGACTCAGGCCCCTCTAAATTAACAAATGGACCCCCTTATAGTATGATTGGCCTTTTGACTCTCCTTTCTCCTAATGAAACCAGTGAGTGTTCCTTTAACTGAGAGTTAAAACTTCACATAGTAGTCCTGCTTAGTATATTTTTAAGTTTGTTTCGTTTCTAGAGAACCGAATATTTAAAATATGTTAAACAATTTACTAGATCAATAAATAGAATCTTATTCTAAAGATAATTAACCTAGTTACTACTACTTATATCTGCTTAAATACTTGATGAGTTCCTTTTCCACCTTCACCCAGACAAATGGCATACAGTGATGTAACTTTTTTTTTTTTCAATCTCAGGAGTGCAAAGACCTTATTGGGGAAAGCTCTAGATTATAGTTACATTAGCCCTTTTTATTTCATTTCCAGAATGGTCTTGAGGCCTCTGGTGCTAGAGTGTCACCATTTTACAATTATGTTTCTGTTTTGAAGTGTAGATACTTAGCAGTTTCTTTTTGTTGTTGTTGTTGTTGTTGTTGTTGTTGTTTGTTGTTCGTTGTTTTCTTGAGACCGAGTCTCGCTCTGTTGCTAGGCTGCAGTGCCATGGCACGATCTCGGCTCACTGCAACCTCTGCCTCCTCGGTTCAAGCGATTCTGCTTCAGCCTCCAGAGTAGCTGGGATTACAGGCGTGCGACACCTGGCTAATTTTTGTATTTTTAGTAGAGATGGGGTTTTACCATGTTGGTCACGTTCGTTGGTCAGGCTGGTCTGGAACTCCTGACCTTGTGATCTGCCCACCTTGACCTTGCAAAGTGTTGGGATTACAGGCATGAGTCATCGCACCTGGCCACTTAGCAGTTTTTAAAGCAGCTAGCTAAACAAGAGTTACTGATACTGGTTACGGAAAAACTGCTGCAATACACTGTGCTTGAATCCATCACTGAAAGAAAAAAATAATGTTCATGGAAGTGTTCTTGGGAGATGTCTTGTAGGAATATGCTAATATCTAAATGCCTTGGCAATCTGTAGAATATTGAACATAAAGTATTTTGTAACATGGCACTCAGTATAGGAGTTATTCTGGTTTTTGGAAAAGTTGTCGGTGGAGACTTCTTTTCAAGGCAGAATTCTGCTTTTATGTAATAATGCATCATGTTCTGCCTTCGTGATAAAGACCTGATTTTGCTGAATATTTTAGTCTGAATCAATTTCCTAAGATCCATGGAAAAATGAAAAGTGTGAGTTGCACTGAACTGCAGCACTGTTTTCTGGGGGATGGATTTGGGCTTTTTAACTAGCCATTTCTGCCAAGTGTTTTTTTCTCCTTTTCCTGTCATTCCCCTGTGGCTAGGTGTATTGGTGTATATTCTTACTGGCAAGAAGTGCCACCTGGGAAGTGTTTTGAGAGTGTTCAGTACATCTCTTTTCAAACTAGCTGCAAATAAAATGTCCAACATTTTAAAGTCTTTTTTTTTTTTGGAAACAGAGTCTCGCTCTGTTGCCTGAGCTGGAGTGCAGTGGTGAGATCTCAGCTCATTGCAACCTCTGCCTCCTGGGTTCAAGTGATTCTCCTGCCTCAGCCTCCCAAGTAGCTGGGATTACAGGCACCCACCACCGTGCCCAGCTAATTTTTGTATTTTTAGTAGAGACAGGGTTTTACCATGTTGGCCAGGATGGTCTCGATCTGACCTCATGATCCACTGACCTTGGCCTCCCAAAGTGCTGGGATTACAGGTGTGGGCCACTTCTTTAAGTCTTAAAAAATAAATTATAGCAAAGGAATGAACTAAAATAACGGATTTTTTTTTTTTAACCTCATTTCAGTTTAGAGTAAAAATGCCTTTAGATATATGGGGGTATTTATTCTAAAAGGATCCTTTTCAGCCTACCTGAAGACTAAATTATTTAAGAGAAATGTTGGCCGGGCGCAGTGGCTCACGCCTGTAATCCTAACACTTTGGGAGGTTGAGGCGGGTGGATCACTGGAGGTCAGGAGTTTCAAACCAGCCTGTCCAACATGGCAAAACCCCGTCTCTATTTAAAAAAAAAGAGAGCCAGGCTCGGTGGCTCACACCTGTAATCCCAGCACTTTGGGAGGCCAAGGCGGGTGGATCACGAGGTCAAGAGATCGAGACCATCCTGGTCAACATGGTGAAACCCCGTCTCTACTAAAAATACAAAAAATTAGCTGGGCATGGTGGCTTGTGCCTGTAATCTCAGCTACTCAGGAGGCTGAGGCAGGAGAATTGCCTGAATCCAGGAGGTGGAGGTGGAGGTGAGCCGAGATCGCGCCATTGCACTCCAGCCTGGGTAACAAGAGCGAAACTCTGTCTCCAAAAAAAAAAAAAGAGAGAGAAAGAGAGAGAGAAATGTCATCTGTCTTCACTGTTTCTAAATATGTATTTTTATTTCAGGTACGTGTGGTTCTCAAATATAGGCATACTGATGGGAACTTGTGTATTAAAGTAACAGATGATTTAGTTGTAAGTATACATTTTTATTTACTACATACTTTCAGATTTGAGTTAATTATTTGTTTGAAATTACTTACTTAGAATTTATGCAGATTACCCACTAGGATGCTTATTTTGCATTTCATTCCAAAATGAAGAACCTCATTCTAACAGCTACTTTTATAGACCCTCAGAAAATAATCTAACCTGCTTTATTAATGAATTATGTCAAGTGTCGTTTAATAAGTGCTGTCTTCAGATCTTAAACAACAGGAACGTAGAGACCAAACTGGATATCAGGGAGTAAAAGTTTCCTTTTTGATATATAAGAAGTAAATGACAGGGTTTGAACACAAGTTACAGGCTTTATTCTTGTCCTTGATCTGCTCACTCTTGTTACTTCCTCACATTCCCCTTCATTCCTTAACCCTCTGCTATCTGTTTTCTGAATGTTGTATTCTACTGAAACTGCCCTTTGTGAGAGCACATCAGCAGCTCCTTTATTTTCAAACCTAGTGGTTTATTATTCATATCTTATTTGATTTCCTTGCTGCTTTTGATACTGAACACCACTCTCATAGAAATAATTATTTTGCGATTTCTGCCTCTGTTTTATCTTGGCCTTACTATTCTGTGTTTCTGTTGTTTCATTCTTCTTTGCTGATTATTTCTTTGATGTGCCCCATATGTATTTGCTTCCCTAGGAGTCTGTCCTTGGTTGTCCTTTCATATAGCTTCTTCTAGAGCACTCCATTTAGTCAAGTCCGATATTACATCTATCTATGTCTATTTGCAAATGTGTGTTTAGCTCATATTCTGACTTTCTGATTAGCATATATATCTCACATACCCTCAAAATTCACTTGTCTGCGGTAGAGTTTATCATCTGTTCTTAAACTAGCTCCTTCTTCTCTTCGTACCTTTAGTTGCATTATTTTCCACCTTGTCAGAAATCTGGGGATTTTTTTAATTAAAAAAATTTTCTTAGAGACTGGATCTCGCTATGTTGCCTAGGCTGGTCTTGAACTCCTGGCCTCAAGCAGTCCTCCCACTCAGCCTCCCAAGTTGCTGGGGATTACACACATGAGCCACAGTGCCCATCCCAGAGTGATTTCTACTTTTCTTTTTTTTGAGACGGAGTCTTGCTTTGTCGCCAGGCTGGAGTGGAGTGGAGTGGCATGATCTCGGCTCACTGCAACCACCGCCTCCCAGGTTCAAGCAATTTTTCTGCCTCAGTTTCCCGAATAGCTGAGACTACAGGTGCACGCCACCATGCCCAGCTAATTCTTTGTATTTTTAGTACAGACAGGGTTTCACCTTGTTGACTAGGATGGTCTCGATCTCTTGACCTCGTGATCCACCCACCTCAGCCTCCCAAAGTGCTGGGATTACAGTTGTGATCCACCATGCTCAACCCCAGAGTGATTTCTAAAAGTGCAAATTTGGTTGTTACTCCCTTGCTTAGAAACCTTTCAACTCCACCCTTGCATCCCCTCTAATCTCTGTCATTTCTTTATTACATAAGAACTACTTTAATATGCTGTAATGTGTTAGGCCTTGGTGTTTTTTGAACATTCTGTTTCCTCTGCAATATTGAATCCCACCTCCGCCCCTAATGTGGCTAGACTGCTGCTTATCTTTCAAAACCCAACTCAAGGATTGCTTCATCTCTTGCTTTTTTGTTTTGGCTTTTTGTGCTGTATCACAATTCTTTTATCACATATGTCTTTTTAATTGACTATGAGCTTTAAGACAATAGAGATAGATCAGTAATGTTCTTACCTGTTTTATTTCCGGTGCCTACTATGATGTCTTGACTCAGAAAGCACTCAGTAAACATTTTAAAAATAGGTTAGTTCTTTAAAAAATTGTATAGAGTGATTTTAAAAATCACTTTGTCTTTGGTCACATACTGTATTTGTGTTCAGGGTTCCATTGTGAGATTGCGTAAAGTTAGATCTTTTAGTGATTAGCATGTCTTCTGAGAACGAGTTGAATTTAGTGAAGTAGCTGAACATGTGAAAAAGGAAGAGTGAATTGAGTTATAATATGCTAGACATAGATTCAAGAGATGTGAATTCTAGCTTAGCCCTTTACTAACATTTTGGCCTTGGAAAAGTTTAGGCCAGAAATTTAGCCTTCTGGTCTCAGTTTCCTCGTCTGTAAAGTATCATAGCAATAGCTTACCTTATTGACTAGTTGTGGAAAGTAAACAAAATATATGAAAGTATCTAACTAGTGCTTACCCCTGTTAGACTGGGTAAATGTATGTATTCTTTCGTTTGTTGGTTGTTGGAGTTGCACTCTTGTTGCCCAGATTGGAGTGCAGTGGCGCAATCTCAGCTCACCGCAACCTCCGTCTCCTGGGTTCAATCAATTCTGCCTCAGCTTCCCAAGTAGCTGGAATTACAAGCATGTGCCACCACACCTGACTAATTTTTAATTTTTTTAGTATATAGGAATTTCTCCATGTTGGTCAGGCTGGTCTCAAACTCCCAACCTCAGGTGATCCATCTGCCACCGCCTCCCATAGTGCTGGAATTACAGGCATGAGCCACCATGCCCAGCCTTGTTGGTTGCCTTTTTTTAGAGACAGTGTCTTGCTCTGTTGCTCAGGCTGGAGTGCAATGGCATGATGATAGCTCATTGCATCCTCGACCTCCTGGGCTCAAGTGGTCCTCTCACCTCAGCCTCCCAAATAACTGGGGACTACAGGTACGCACCACCACACTCAGCTAATTTTTAAATATTTTTTTTGTCAAGACAGGATCTCACTGTATTGCCTAGGCTGATCTGGAACTTCTGGACTCAAACCATCTTTCTGCCTCAGCCTCCCAAACCACTGGGATTATGGGTGTGAACCACTAAGTAATTCTTAAATCTTGACATTCCACACTGAGAAAAATCTTAATTGTAATTGTCACAGAGTGGTTAGGTATACCTGCTGAAGAGAAACCCATATGTCCTAGCTTAAAAATAGGGGAATAAATGCAGAATGAATTTTAATACAAAAGACCTTATCTCCAATTGATGCTTTTTGCTGTTAATGATTAAACATAATTAAGGATCCATGTTAACTTTGACTTTTTTATAATCCAATGTATGTATCATTTTTATAATCCCATAATATCTTTTTCTGTCAGAAACTTTAGTGAGAAGGTATATACATTCTCTCATAGCACATATGCTAAAGTTTGAATGATGAAGGTTAATATGACCTCTTTCTTTTTTTTATTTTTATTTTTTAGTGCAGTAAACAGATAAATATGACTTCTTTAAAAGATTGCTGACAAATTTGTGCAATGTGTGGATAAAATTTTCTTTAAGGTATAATATGCTAGTCATAGATTCAAGAGATGTGAATCCTAGCTTAGCCCTTTAATTCATTTAGAATTCAGATCAGCGGGGCATGATGAGGCTGAACTTCAGGTTATTTAAGTTACTGACTTTTATTACAGGATCATTAGTTCCTGTTGTTTAAAACTCATGTGAACCTTTAAGATGGGCTAAAGAAAAATTGACCTGTATTACAAAAGGAGGAAAGGGCTGCCAGCTTGAAGTTGCTATTTTTGAAGATTCTATAGTAGATGGTTTTATGACCAACCATAAGCAGATCTTAAGTATCTAGTGACGAATTTAACTGCTAATAAGGAAGAATTTGGTTTGTTTTAAAAGTAATCAAGCCTGGGCAACATGGAGAAACCCCATCTCTACTAAAAATAGAAAAATTAGCTTGGTTGTGCGTGCCTGTAGTCCCAGGTATGCGAGAATCTGAGGATCGCTTGAGCCCAGGACACAGGTTGCAGTGGGCTGAGATTGCACCACTAGACTCCAGCCTGGGCCACATAGTGAGACACTGTCTCAAAAATATATATCTTCAGAAAATCAAGATTTCTCTGGTTTATGTAGTGACTAGCTATACACAGAGAAATCTAAATTTTTTTCTAAAAATTATTGTTAAACCCCCAATTTCACCAGTAGTAAAAGGGATCTTAAGATTTCTATGTTTTTTCCCAGCATGACTCAGTTACTTATCGCTGGCAGAAAATATCTAATTCTAAGCCTTGAGTTCTTCTCATCAGACCACAGCAGGATTTCACATTTAACATTTTTCAGAAGCTTCTAATGGACTTCATTTAGTTTTTTTTTGTCCACAGCAGTGGCATTTAAATTACTGTAACTTTAAGACATGGAATTGCTAGAGGCTTGAAAACTTGAGTGCAGTTTCCCTAGTATGACCCTCCAAGGAAAATAGAGCAAAACACTGGTAGGAAAGACTCTGAAAATTTTACCCAATTGTATGTCTTCTACATTGTCAATATCTAGTTTTACATAGTTAATGTGTACTTCTAAAATTTTTGACAGTGTTTGGTGTATAAAACAGAGCAAGCTCAAGATGTAAAGAAGATTGAGAAATTCCACAGTCAACTAATGCGACTTATGGTAGCCAAGGAATCCCGCAATGTTACCATGGAAACTGAGTGAATTGTTTGAAATGAAGACTTTGTCATGTACTTAGGAAGTAATTATCTTTTGAATTAGAGAAAGTGTTGGGACAGAAAATACTTTATGTAACTAAGTGGACTATTCAGAAGCTTAGAGGTCATTTTTTGTAATTTTCTTTTGAATGTTTGCTTTAGAAAGCTAGGAATGGGAATGTTTTCAGTTAGAAAGCCTGTATTTACTTTTGGAAATTGAACAAGAAATGCATCTGCCTTGGAAACTTTGCAGATTATTTGATGTTAGGTAAAACACATAATTGTTTCTCTGACAAATTTGTATCAGTAATTTGAAAATGAGATATGAAGAAAAGCCAATTCTTAAATTTAGTTCATCTGTCTTTAAAAGAACATTAAATGTAACCATTTTGTTGGATCGATGTATTTCTTTTGGAGCATAAAATGTATGTTGTTGATGACCAATAAATATAAAATATGGTAATTGGAATTAACTCTGCACCATAGTATGCATTGTTACACATACTATGCACCTAATTGTGTATATGTAGTCTCAATTAAATCTAAAAGTAATTGACTAACAAGTATGCTTTGCCTTCTTTCCAGATTTAAACTACCTTTTAATATAAGGGATTTGTAGGATCAGCTTGTTGAGCAATGACTTCGAATCTAGTTTTCAGAAGCAGCAGTTATTTGAGTGCGTGAATGGAATGATGATCACTATAATGTACTGAAACCACCATATTACAGAAATATTTGCTACTTATTTTCCATCTGTAGTTTCTCAGAAGGGCTATAGATTATTTGAACTGTCAAATCCTTGCATACTTCTGTGACACCCCTGCCCATTTTCACTCTCTATTTAACCAAGGTGTTAGATGTGACTGTCACAACTGTTATGTTTCCCAGTAAACCAGAAGTGTGATATTATTTGATACTTACATTTGTATCCTAAATTTCACCACCTAAATGTAATGTTCACATGTTGATTCCTCAAGAATGAAGTGAAGGTACTACATTGAAATATGTTTTGTAGAAATTTGTCATGTTGAGCAACATTTTAGCATGGTAAGTTCCCTTAGCTATATGAATTTTGGCATGTTTCAGAGAGATGAGCAAATAAAATGTTACATAAATATGTATTGTTTGTGTTGAAGTTTTTAACTTTTCAAAAAATTATTAATTTCTTAACTGGGATATACTATATTCATTTAGTCCAAAATGAGCCTGGTAATGCTGAAAGCAAATTTTTTGTTTCTCAGTACTTTATATTATATGACTTTCTCTGAGCTATATGTTAATAGCAAGTTTGGTGTTTTTTTTTTTATTATTATTAGAAAACTAATAAATAGTATAGGATTATCTCGACTTTTGATTTTTTTCCCCCAGAATTAATGGGATCACTATCAGAGGAGTGGAGAGGTTTGTCCTTTTCCCCTTCATTTAACACTATAGAGATGGCCTGAAAAGGAGACTGGCATTTGGGTTCTTTGAGTCCTGGTAGGTTGTAACAGAGTGGTTAAGAACAGACATTCCAAGTCAGACTGCCTGGCTTTCAGTCCTGGCTCCAGTGTTTCCTGACTCTGTGGTCTTAGACTAAATACTTTGCTAAGCCTTCATTTTCTTCTCTGGAAATGGGGCCAAGAATAGTACTTCCCTTGTAAGACTGTTGGGATTAAACATGATCCAAGCCAGGGCACAGTGGTTCTCACCTGTAATCCCAGTACTTTGGGAGGCTGAGGTGGGCAGATCATTTGAGGCCAGGAGATTGAAACAAGTCTGGCCAACATGGTGAAACCCCATCTCTACTACAAATACAAAAATGAGCCCAGCGCAGTGGCACACACCTGTGATCCGATCTACTTGGGAGGCTGAGACACGAGACTAACTTGAACCCAGGAGTTGGAGATTGCAGTGAGCCAAGATCACACCACTGCACTCCAGCCTGGGTGAGCAAGGCAAGACTCTGTCTCAAAAAAAAAAAAAAACAAGATCTGTTTTAAGCTTTTAGCACGGTGCCTGCAACATAGTAAAGCTCAATAAATTATGCCTTTTTTTTTTTTTTGAGACAGTTTTGCTTTGTTGCCCAGGCTGGAGTGCAGTGGTGCAATCTTGGCTCACTGGAACCTCCACCTCCCAGGTTCAAGCAATTCTCATGCCTCAGCTTCCTGAGTAGCTGGGATTACAGGCACCCACCACCACGACTGGCTGATGTGTTTTCGTATTTTAGTAGAGACGGGTTTTAGCATCTTGCCCAGGCTGGTCTTGACCTGAGCTCAGGCAGTCTGCCTGTCTCAGCCTCCCAAAGTGCTAGGATTACAAGCATGAGCCACTGAGCCTAGCCAACAAATTATACTATTGTTATTGTTATGATTCCTGTTTTCCAGGGGAAAAGTAATCAGCTCCTAAGTTTTATAATTTTAAAGGAATGATATTTAGAGGTAATGTCTGCCTTTTCTGCCAACCCTTGTCATTAAATAGCATTTTAGGTAGTTGGGAAACAAAAAATTGCCTCCATGGAGAGTGTGGTTACTGTGTTTGTGTGGGGAAAATGAAATTCTTAAACCTAAAACTTGGGTTATATATGTCAGCAGAAAATAAAATTATAATTAAGAGAACTAGTTGATGAAAGCATTGTCAAAGATCACATACATAATAAAACATGAAATCATAATGTAAGTATTGCAGTGCTGTATACCCTGAGTATTTTCTTTTATCCAAAAGTATTTCTGGGTGCTATAATCACATGTTCAAGGATTTATTTTTAGCAAACTTTGGTGATACATTTAATCAAATGCTGTTGACTCAGATATTCCAGTAGTCACTTTAGTAATTGAGATTCTTGGTATGTTTAGCACTTCAGATGGTTTCATTTTGTTCTTCTCTTGCAGAGACCCCGCTCTTAGAGCACAGAGTCCATTAAACGTCACTGTTAGGCTACATGTGTTCTCTATTGTGAAGAGTTTGCTTCTCCCTTTCAGGGATTACCTAGCCAGCCAACTTCTTATCTTAAAAATATAAACTCCGTTAGTCATAGCTCCAAGTCATTAATTAGAGGCCGTGTTGGCAGAATTTTATCATTGGTATCTTGTTACTCAGAAAAATCAACATTCGGCTGGGTGTGGTGGCTGACGCCTATAATCCCAGGACTTTGGGAGGCCGAGGTAGGTGGATCACCTGAGGTCAGGAGTTTGAGACCAGCCTGACATGGTGGTGTATGCCTGTAATCCCAGCTACTCAGGAGGCTGAGGCAGGATAATCGCTTGAACCCAGAAGGCAGAGGTTGTAGTAAGTCGAGATCACGCCATTGCACTCCAGCCTGGACAGTGAGAGAGAAACTCCATCTCAAAAAAAAAAAAAAAAAAAAAAAACTAACATTCATAACTGTATGATGGTAATCATCTTGAAAATATTATAAAACTAAAAATGAGTGAATGTGAGAGAAATTAATTGCTCAAGAGCAGTAAGTAGACAGTTTTATCCTTCTGCCTACTAAAAATGGGAAAAAACCCAATTCCTGTGTAATGTTTGTTACACCCCTATTGTTTGCCTCTTTAACTAAATGCCTTGTGTAATGGCAATGTGTTTTTTTTTTTTTCTTTTAGGGGAGGGAAAATCTCCCTTTAATTCTACAGTTAAAATTTGTAATAATGTAAGAAGAAAGTAAATATATTTTATTCTTCTTTCTCACATTAGAAGTACCACAGGTTGAGCATTCCTAATCCGAAAATCTGAAACTTGGAGCACTGACATGACACTCAAAGAAAGTACTCTGGAATATTTCAGATTTCAGATTTTTGGATCAAGGATGCTTAACCAGTAAGTATAGTGCACACATTCCAAAATTCAAAACACCTCTGATCCCAAGCATTTCAGATATGAGATGCTCAATCTGTAGTTGGCTGGTTTCAGATAAGTTAAGCATGTTCCGGCATGGTGGCTCACGTCTATAATTCCAGCACTTTGGGAGGCTGAGGCGGGTAGATCACAAGGTTAAGAGTTCGAGACCATCCTGGTCAACATGGTGAAACCCTGTCTCTACTAAAAATACAAAAATTAGCTGGGCATGGTGGCGCGTGCCTGTAGTTCCAGCTATTCGGGAGGCTGAGGCAGGAGAATTGCCTGAACCCAGGAGGCAGAGGTTGCGGTGAGCCAAGATCACGCCATTGCACTCCAGCCTGGGTAACAAGAGTGAAACTACGTCTCAAAAAAAAAAAAAAAGATAAGCATGTTCCATTGTGGCTTTCCCACTGAATGCATGGAGCAGCTATTCAAAGGTTCTGAAAAGAATATAGTAGCAGGTGGATTGGGGAGGAAGATTAGAATTGGAAGTATTACTGAACCAGTGATGAGTCTACCATTTTTCCCCATCTGGTATTCCCCAGTCTGAACTGAACACATTGGAAACCTGGAAGTGAGTACTGGGATGCAGAGAAGAGTGCTAGAAACCTTCTAGGTCTGGCTCAAGGAGTAGAAAGGGAAATTTTAGTATTCAGAGCGTACAGAAACCCTTTTCTTCTGTTTGCTTTTTTTGTGTTCTCTTACATGCCACCCCCTAAGCAATCCTGTGGTGGTGACAGTGTTGACTGCTGGCAGTGAGAACATTCAGAAGCCAAACTGAGGGAGTCCTTTCTCTCTCTCCAGTAGAGCTGTGGTTCCAAGACAGGAGAGCCAGCCTCCACGGCACTTTTTATTTCTGTCCTCCGTCAGTATGGCCCTGGAAACGGGCATAGTGGCAAAAGCACACAAATTAACTAAAACCTCAGTCTTTCAGCCAGAGAACCAGTAGAAGGAACTGGAAAGTATTGGGAAGATCACAGAGGAAGGAACTCTATCACCAAAAACTGACACCAAAAGTTGTTTATGAACTCCTGGGTTTGCCTCAAATCTGCACAAGTGTGTGCTCTTACTCAGCATAACAAGGACTGTGAGAACTGAACTAACAAACCAACACCCAGATCCCAGAATGGCAACTTGGAGATGTTCACATGGGATAGATAATAGCACTGCAACGGTTTTGAAAGTTGAACCAACATTGTAATCACAGTTCACAAGAAGGCAGGTTGGGACTTGAGGCCTGAACCTAACCAGATTGCCTGCTGAATCAAACTCAATATTCTCCGTAGTTTTAAATGACCTAGAGTTTAATAACTATTCAGAATGTCATGGATATAATGCAAAATTTCTCGGCATATCAGGAAATGGTAAAATATCAACTCCTAAGGGAAAAGACAACAGATCTCAGCACTGAGGTATCGCAGGTGTTAGCATTATCTGACAAAGACCATTAAAGCAGTTATTATAAAAGTGCTCCAACAAGTAATCATGAACTCTCAAAACCAAACCAACGGAGAAAACATTTTAGCAAATAGATGATGTAGGAAACAAAATGGAAATTTTAGAACGGAAAAAACACAAGAGCCAAAATTAGACATTAACTGAGTAGTCTAGCGGAATGGAGGAAAGAAGCATTGATAAACCAATAGAATTTATCTAATCTGAACAACTGAGAAAAAGACTAGGGGGAAAAGAACATGAACAGAGCTTCAGAAACCTGTGGGACAAGAATAAAATATCTGACATTTGTGCCATCGGAGTTCCAGAAAGAGGAGAAAATGTGTTGGAAAAAAAAAAAACGTTTGAAGAAATAGAGTCAGGCATCATTTAATGGCAGGAGAAATGCATCATTAGGCGATACTGTGTACATCATAGTGTATAGTTAGACCTAGATGGCGTAGCCTACTACACCCCTAGGCTGTATGGTATAGCCTGTTCCTCCTAGGCTACAAACATGTACAGCATGTAAACTGTATTGAATACTGTAGGCACTTGTAACACAATGGCAAGTATTTGTGCATCTAAACATGGGAAAAATACAATAAAGATACAGTATTATAATCTTATGGGATTGCCATCATATATGCTGTCATTGAAATTTATTTTTCCCGATTTTGTGGCACGTGACTTTATTTTCCCGATTTTGTGAAAAATCTCTAGATTTAAGAAGCTCAAATCTACACCCAGACATCATGATGGAACTTGTGAAAACTAAAATGATACTGAAAGCAGTGGGGAGGGGGAGAAACACATTACCTTCAGAGAAACAATGATTAGGGTAACTGAGTTTCTCATCAGA